TATGGAGGCCAGTGTGTCAAAGTGACAGCAGTGAGACTATCTCTGGGGATTGGGTGATTACCCCCCAAAAGAGTAAAAAGTATATGTATTGCCCGTCCTGGAGTACATCCTGGGCGTGGATGTACTATGTGTCTTATGGCTAGAAACCACAGTCAGAGAGTTTCACCTTAGAGTGTGAGTGGTAAAGGCAGTGGTGAGAGGACACACTAAGCATCTGCCTCTACAACTGCCAGTCCCTAGGCTAGTGACTAATACCAAGCAATATTGGTTGCCCGGAGGCTACAAAGAAATTACAGGCACAATATCAGAGCTGGAAAAAGCGGGCATTGTGCGTACTGCCCACACCCCTACATTTCTCTGGTGTGGCTGGTGAAGAAGCCCAATGGCTCTTGGCGAATGACAGCAGATTATTGTGAATTGAATAAGGTAGTTCCTCCCTTGCATGCCGCAGTGCCTTCAGTGGCAGACTTGATGGATCATCTGAGTCTGTCACGAGCTGGGAATATACCATTTTGTAGCCAATCTGGCAATTTTTTTTTTTTTCGAGAGATATAGCCCCAGGAAGTCAAGACCAATTCACCTTCACCTGGGAAGGCCGGCAGTGGACATTCACTGTGCTGCCACAGGGATACCTGCACAGCCCCACTCTTTGTCACGGACTGATGGCAGCAGATTTGGCTCGCCACAGAGGGAAAACGTTCCCGGGCTACTCAGCAGTGACTGCGGCGAGCGCCAGGGGCCTTTTAACAGACTTCACGTGTCCTTCACACTATTTCCTCAACTCACCCCGAAAGGCCGCAGAGCAGGGTGAGCAGAGTCCCAGGGAGACAGCACCCCGAGCAGCATCCACATCCTCCACCCCAGCTCTTTGCAGGAGGACGGCCCCGATCACTCTCTCCTTAGGATGGAGAGAGAGTCCACACTTCACCTCACCTTGGCCGACATGTCGGTCACCGCAGCCAAGCTCAGGAATGTCTCAGGACACGAGCTGGAAACGCCACCTCTCCCGGCCTGAGACTGCTTGATGCTCATCCCTGCTTGTGAGAAGGTGAGCAGCTCATCCTGGCCTGCTCTAGGGATGTATTTCCTGTCTCTCAGAATGTTCCACATAATCTTGCACACATCCAAGTTTTTACAGATGTGTTTCATGAATCTACACATATTTATTATTAGTATTCTTCAAAATGATATCACAAGTCAGATTAATTTATAAATGGGAATTTGATAAGGTAACTCTAGCTCAATTATGTGGCTTTCCAAAATACTCGTTTAACAAATACTTAATATTTATTTATTTATGCACACAAGAGCTGGGGTACAGGCCGTGGATGCCGGGGTTGAGAGGATTCACCAGAGACAGAGCAGGGAACAGAACAGGCCGACTGACAAAATACACTGCTGAGGGGCACAGCAGGCCAGTCAGGAGAGGTCTGAGGCAAATATCAGTCAGCTCCCTGGCCGGCTGGGGATCCAACTTGTGCACAGTGGCTGGCAGTAGTTTGAGAGCACTGTGTTTAACCCCTGGGCCACCAGGGAGGCCCCTTACCTTTAGTTTGAGGTCAGAAGTGTGACTCCTTCATTTCCCCCCACTTTTAATCAGGTTTGGTTATTTGGGTTCTTTTGTGTTTCCATATGAACCTCAGTAATCTTTGTTCTGTTCCTTTGAAGAATGCCATCGGGATATTTATTGGGGTTGCAGTGAATCTAGAAGGGGCTTTGGGTTGGATGGCCCTTTGGACAACGTTGATTCTTCCAACCCATGAGCTGGGTCTCTCTTTCCATTTCTCTATGCTTTCTATTATTTTTTTCCCATGATGTTTGATAGTTTTCCTTGTAAAAGTCTTTCACCTCCTCTATTAAGTTTATTCCCAGTTAATTTTTTGTGTGTGCAATTGTAGGTGGCATGGCTTTGTTACTTTCCTTTTCTAGTTCATTATTTGTACTTAGGAAGGCATATGTTTTTCAATGCAGAGTTTGGTGGCATTACATACACTCACTCTGTCGTGTAACTCTCATTTCTGAAACCAGGGTGTCCCCAAAGGCTTACATACATCCCCAAAATAGACCTGCGTTCTTTCTGCTCATTGCTTAACTGTTAACAAAGTCAAACTACTCTTTGTCTTCTAGCCTGGCTACATTACCATGATGAAATTGTTCTTCCCGAGCAGTTCTGCTTCTCCAGAGAAAGAGAACCTCGCAGCCCAAGACCGGACATCCACCTCGGTATCTTATGGGTACACTCCCTTTCATCCAGGGGATGAACTTAGGGGTGGGGGCGACCAAGGGAGATGGCACAGACCTGCAAGTAGCACACACCTCTTGTCCCCATATCCAAAGGATAAGCTCCCCACACAAGAATGAACCCATAGCCTCCCTGCTCCGTAAGTCTCAGACCGTGAAGCTGTACAGCCACTGCAACAAGAGCTCCATCCCCAGCCAGGGAGCTGACCCACAGGGCGCAGTACCTCTCCTGTTTCCCCGCGGCTCCCCTCAGCAGTGGATTTCAATGGATCTGCCTGTTCTGCTCCCCACTCGTCTCTGGGGAGTCCTCCCCCGCCACAGTCCACTCCCTGTCCCTGGAGCTCAGGGCTCCTGTAGTGTCCTCACCACTGGAGCATGGACAGTGTCTCTGGGCTGTGCTGATTCTGCGCGTCCTGACCCCGGGATGCGGCTGAGCTGGGCAAGGTCCCCATGGAACACGGTGGAGGCCTCTCCTGGGCCTCCACCGACAGCATCACCACCCACCTGGGCCGCCCACCCATCCACAGAGGCCTCACCTGCCACACCCCTGGATGCCCCAACACACCTGCAGGGGGACGTGACAAGAGTCCCCTGAACCCCTCACCTTCAGAGCACAGAGTGACCCTTGCTCCAACAGCCCACATGGGTCACGTCACAGCAACAGACACTTCCAGGGAACGTGGCACTAGCAGAGGAGCGTTGTTTTAGCAAACCCTGCAGGCCTCTTTGGACCAGGTCTGAGGTGAAGGCTGAGGGGCCCAATGCCATCTTTAATGGGCGCTCGAGGACACCTAGGAGCCTGCAGCATCGTGGAAAACAGCCTGTGGCCTGGGGGTGAAAACCTCAGCGACCTCACATGGTGCGTTGAGGAATATGGCCCGTGGCCCTGACACTCCAGGTGGAGTTTGAAGGGACCAATGTACCTCCCCCTGAATCAGGGAGGATGCTCTCAGGGGACAGACACTCCATCAGTCACCAACTTGGAAACACAGGACGGGGGCTCTGGCTGTAGAGATGTTCCTGACGAAGGAAGCTGCGTAGAGGGCGCGGGCAGGGAGGAGCGGGCGCCCAAGTTCCAAATCCATGATCAGGGAAACAATCCCCAATGGACGGGCCCCGAGCCCAGCCCCGCGGAGAGGACGCCGCAGAGCCGACACAGGGCACGACTGCAAACCCACAGACTGAGGCTAGGTGTGGACATGCAGGCGAGTAACTGGGGGCAAACTCAGTGGGCCTCGGAGCCTCGGGAGATCCCTCAGGCCAAGCCCCTCAGCAAGAGACACGCCACAGAGACCCCCACGACCAGCACCCATTCCCTTCCCACCACAGCCGTGGGAGCCCCTGCTTCTCGGCCCCAGCGGCCACCCCTCGGGACCGTTCTGCTCAGGGAGCTTTCTTGTCCTTACTTCTGTGAGTAAATGTCTGGCTCTTCTGGAACTCTGGGCTCCACTCGGAACTACTTTCACACAAAAGAGAAGAAACGAAGAAGAGCACATCCGAGGCCTCAGACTCCGGGCCTGCTTCACAAACTCTCTGCTCAGCATCATCATGGCGCCAAAGAAACACACCAGAAGGTGCCCGGGGCCGCTGGGGGAAGGGGGTAGCGAGAGTGACATCAAGGACTTCCTCAGCCACCACCTTCCATGCCAACCACTCACCCCAAGCTATGAACTGACTCAGACAAAGACCACATTCAGGGCATGGCCAGCAACGGCGGAAGGGATTATGTTCAGAACAAAGAGAGAAGGAAAAGACCTGGATTACATTGATCACCTCCAGGAGGAATACAGGGAAATGAAGAAAGTGTCAGGGGGAAAAAGACAAAAGTAGCAGGCAGATGACAGCTGAGATGCCAGCAGGGGACAGGGCAGAAGAGGGCCCAAGATGGGAGGGAGAAGCACCAGGGCCTGGGGTGACGGGTCACAGGGATGGTGGGGACAGGACATTTGCAAGAATTATACAGAAGGGGAGCAATCCAATATTGCCCAAAGATGAACAACAATTTAATAAAAAAAAAATAAAAGGCAAGAATCCTTTCCTTTAAAAATAATATAGGGGCCTCTGGTGGCACAGGGGTGAATGTCTCAGCACTATGAAGCTGTTCTCAGTACTGCAGACACAAGTTCGATCCCTGGCCAGGGAGGTGACCCACATGGCAGAGTAGACCTCTCCTGTCTCCCCACTGACTCCTCAGCAGTGGATTTCAGTAGATCCACCTGTTGTGCTCCCAACACTCTCTGTGGAGAATCCTCTCACCCCCTTATACCTCTGGCTAGCACCCCAGTTCTTGTAGAAGTAATGCAGTAATGCAGAAGTAATCTTCCAAAAAAATTCCCTCATTTTGTAGAACTGGGGTGTAGGCCAGAGGTTCGGGGGTGAGAGGATTCACCAGGTACTGAGTGTGGCAGCAAACAGGCAGAACCACTGAAATACCTGGCTAATTGGAGCAGCGGGTGACACAGGAGAGGCCTGCTGCGGCCTCTAGCATATGTGGGGCGGCTCCCTAGCTGGGGCTGAAACCCTGGCCAGAGCAGGCAATAGCACTGAGACTTAACCCCGAGGCCACCAGGGAGGCCCCAGGAAACCTTCATCACGAAAGGTAGGTAAAGAAAGCTGCAGACCTCAACCTATAGCCGATAGCACACAGCTCAACGTTTCCTTCTAGAGAAGGACATTTTGGTGGTGAGCAATTCCAGCATCGGGGGGCACCACAGAGACTTAGAGTACTGGACAGAACGTGACGCCTAAGTTAGAAAACCCAGAGAGATCCCTTACCCACGCAACATGCAATGTGCCATGTAGATAGATAGCTACCGTGGACATGAATAGCATCGCCCAGGAACTTAAGAGGATACTAGAAGCAACAGCAACAGGAACAGAGACATCATCACTGCATGAACTTGGGAGAAGAGTGAACCAGGTAACTCCACGCAATTAGGAGTGAAACTGTATGTCAGTTCCCATTGCTCTCAACTGAATGATGTGGTTTGAGCTCCTAAGTTTGAATATTTTTTTAAAGATTTTTATTTATTCAAGCATACCAGAACCAGGGTACAGGCCAGATGTGTGGGAGGGTGAGAGGATGCACCAGAGACAGAGCGGGGAACAGAACAGGCAGACTGACCGAAATACACTGCTGAAATACATGCAGCGGGCCAGACAGGAGAGGTCTGCCGCACCATTTGGTTGCTCCTGGCTGGCCAGGAAATCAAACTCCCACCACAAAGGACACGGACAGCTTCACAGTGCTGCGTTCAACCACCTGCACCACCAGGGGAGGCCTGCCTGCGCATTCTTGACATTCATAGCATTTCCCTCCAGTGTGGAGTTTGTCATGCCTAGTGACGGTTGACTTCCTGAAAAGTTTTCCCACATTCTTCACAATCATAGGGATTTTGTCCAGTGACATCTCTGATGTCCAGTGAGAGCGTGCTTACTGGAAAAATTTCCCCACACTCTTGACACTCATAAGGCTTTTCTCTAGTGTGACTTCTCTGATGTTTACTGAGGGATGTTTTGTGGCAGAAAGTCTTCCCACACTCTTGACACTCATAGGGTTTCTCCCCAGTGTGAATTCTCTAATGTCTAATGGGGGTTGACTTACGGAAAAAAGCTTTCCCACACCCTTCATATTCATAGGGTTTCACTCCACTGTGAATTATTTGATGCTCCTTGAGGGAAGACATACTGGAAAAAGCTTTCCCACACAATTCACATTCATAGGTTTTCTCTCCAGTGTGAATTCTCTGATGTCTAATAAGGTGTGCCTTACTAGAAAAAGCTTTCCCACACCCTTCACAATCATAGGGTTTCTCTCCAGTGTGAATTCTCTGATGCTCCTTGAGGGAAGACTTACTGGAAAAAGCTTTCCCACACCCTTCACAATCATAGGGTTTCTCTCCAGTGTGACTTCTCTGGTGGTAACTGAGGGATGATTTCCAGGGGAAAGTCTTCCTACACTCTTGACATTCATAAGGCTTCTCTCCACTGTGAATTCTCTGATGCTCCCTGAGGTAAGACTTACTGGAAAAACCTTTCCCACACCCTTCACATTCATAGGGTTTTTCTCCAGTGTGAATTTTCTGATGTCTAATAAGGTGTGCCTTACTAGAAAAAGCTTTCCCACACCCTTCACAATCATAGGGTTTCTCTCCAGTGTGAATTCTCTGATGCTCCTTGAGGGAAGACTTACTGGAAAAAGCTTTCCCACACCCTTCACATTCATAGGGTTTCTCTCCAGTGTGAATTATCTGATGTCTAATAAGGTGTGCCTTACTAGAAAAAGCTTTCCCACACCCTTCACAATCATAGGGTTTCTCTCCAGTGTGACTTCTCTGGTGGTAACTGAGGGATGATTTCCAGGGGAAAGTCTTCCTACACTCTTGACATTCATAAGGCTTCTCTCCACTGTGAATTCTCTGATGCTCCCTGAGGTAAGACTTACTGGAAAAAGCTTTCCCACACCCTTCACATTCATAGGGTTTCTCTCCAGTGTGACTTCTCTGATGTTGACTGAGGAATGACTTTCTAGAAAAAGCTTTCCCACACTCTTCACAATCATTGGATTTCTCTCCAGTGTGAGTCCTCTTATGTAGAACAAGAACTAACTTACAGGAGAACACTTTCCTACATGCTTGACATTCATAGTGTTTCGCTCTAGTGTGACTACTCTGATGGTGAATGAGGGATGGTCTCCAGTGGAAAGTCTTCCTACACTCTTGACATTCATAAGGTTTCCCTCCAGTGTGACTTCTCTGATGGTTACTGAGGGATGATTTGCAGGAGAAAATCTTCCTACACTCTTCACATTCATAAGGCTTCTCTCCAGTGTGAATTCTCTGATGCTCATTGAGGTAAGACTTACTGGAAAAAGCTGTCCCACACCCTTCACATTTATAGGGTTTCTCACCTGTGTGACGTCTCTGATGGTGAGGGAGGGATAATTTCCAGGGGAACGTCTTCCTACGCTCTTGACATTCATAGGGATTCTCTCCAGTGTGAATTCTCTGATGCTCAGTAAGGTGAGACTTCCTGGAAAAAGCTTTCCCACACCCTTCACATTCATAGCATTTCTCTCCAGTGTGAGTCCTCTCATGTAGAACAAGAACTGACTTACGGGAGAACACTTTCCTGCACGCCTGACATTCATAGGGTTTCTCCCTTGTATGAGTTCTCTGATGGACACTAAAAGCAGATTTCCACCTGAAAGTTTTCTTACAAACCTGACATGGGTAGTGCTTCACTCCCGTTTGAGATTGTGGATGTAAAGTGAGGGCAGTCTTCCATGAGTAAGTTTTCATGTAATCATTAGAGCCAAACTACTTCACTGCAGTGAGATTTCTCTGGTATCCCCTCTGTAAGGAAATCTCAGAGGTGCCCCCACAGTCATCAGGTTGATCATCTGCTTGTGTTTTCTGATGTTCAGTCAGAACAGAGGTTTTAGAGGCCGCTCCACCATATCTCTTTTTTTTTTTTTTAATTTTTTTTTTTTTAAGATTTTTTTTTTTTTTTAATAGAGGCATGTTTTTTTATTTATTTATTTGTTTGTTTGTTTTGTTTATACAAGCACTGGGTACAGTCAGAAGCGCGGGAGGGTGAGAGAATTCACCAGAGCCAGAGCGGGGAGCAGAGCAGGCAGAAGGACCGAAGTATACTGCTGAGGGGAGCAGCGGGCGGCAGGAGAGGTCTGCGCGCCATGTGGGACCCTCCTCCGGTGGCCGGGGAGCAGCCGGGGATCGAACCGGCGCCACAGAGGCCGCGGGCAGCTTCGCAACCCAGCGCTCTACCGCTGCGCCACCTGGGAGGCCCCACCATATCTCTTATATCCAAAATTATTCTGTCCTAACTGGGTACTCTCACGCGGATAGGTGTGAAATGTATTGCTGAGACTGGCCCCACTTTCATAACATTCCTGCTGCTCATGTTCAGCATACCTAGGAGGATTCAAATGCACTGGAGTCATTTCTGCAGCTCTCCCCTTTTCATTACAACTGCAGGGAGTCTGTCCTCCTTGGGTTCTGTCTCAGACAACGAAAGGTGCCTCATCACGGGTGTTCCTGCACTCATTGCATTTACGGGCAGCCCCTTCTGGAAGGGCTCCTCTAGGTGTAAATACTGTTTCTTCACTCACAACTTTTCCTTGTTCACGAAATTCAAAAGGCTCTTGAAAGTTCTGAATCACCTGGTGACTAAGGTGCTCAGGATACTTGATGGGTTCCCTCATTCTACTAAAGACCTCCTCGTTCTCTCCAGCATGCTCTTCATGAGGCTCACCAGGGATCATCATGGTCCTATGTATAGTAAAGTTCTCAGGCATCATTGCTGAATTGTTTTCATTTTTGATACTATGGTTCAAACAATGAATTGAGTCCAAATTGCTTTTTTTCCATTAAGTCAGCTCTCTCGTTGGATGGTATTTTGCTGCTGGCGGTAAGAACTTGCCACACATGTCTGCCCAGATTTGCAGGGCTGTCCTGAGTCAGGTGATCCACAGTATGGACATCTAAAATGAGATAAAAATGACCATGTCTCTAAAAAGAAGCATTTTGAGTGAATATTACTAGTGGCACAAAAGCTCCTGTATTACAACACAATTTACAGGTATTGATTTTCTGATTCATGCTTTTTGCCCATAGCAAATTATGGGGAGAATAGATTTTTTGGTATCTTTTTATTTTAGCATGGAAGATCTGGGGTGTAGGCCAGAAGTGCAGGAGTGGGGGTGCTGTAGGGGAGCGTGGAGACAGTGTTTTGAACAGAACAGGCGGACTGACTCAAATACCCTGCTGAGGGGAGCAGCAGGTGAGACAGGGGAGGTCTGCTGTGCCAAAGTGGGTGAGCTCCTTCACTGTGGATCAAACTCATGCCATAATAGTGAGAGCTAAGAGACTTAATCCCTAGGCCTCCAGGGAGGCCCCAATTAACAGAGTTTCTAATGCCAAACCAGGATAACAAAGCAGTAAAACTAATTTCATAATGGCTTTATAAATCATAAATATTTGGTGAAAATAGTCCTTTAACTAGAGTTGTCGATTTCAACCAGAAGCATTTCACCCAATATAGATCCTACACACCTTCTTTCTTAGACTGACCCTGTGCAGCTCTTGAGGGTACTTTCTGAATAACCAAGCCCTGCAGAGGCCATGGCTTTCCCGGAAACCTGTGGACTGAGAGACCCAGTCATTGCCCAGGCACTTTAAGCAAGAGGCCTGCTGAGACACAAGGACTCTGCTTCTCCATTTCCTTAGTTTTTCTTTCGACCCCGGCCCTGGCCACGGTCACCTGCAGAGGTTCTCAGAGGCATGCACATCCCTCCACAGCATAGACCTGTCAGTTCTTATTTAAATATCGTATCACATAAGGCTCAGAATCCTAATACATGCAGCAAACTCCGCCTCATCATTGTGTCCCACATTCCTGCTGAGCAATAGGAAAAAAGTTCTGCATCCAGCCTGTGGCTATCAGTGTTAAAGTCTTTTCCCACATCCTTCTGAGAGCAACACCCTGGTGTTCTCAACGCACTCCCTGGAACCTGTGTTTCTGCTTTGTTCATAGCAGCTCCAGTTTTTATGTCATGTGTGACTCTCAGCTACATCACACTGTCATTGATTCCTTTACTTTCCTCCCAACGATTCCCACGAGAAGGTGGAATTGCACAGGTCGCACTGTTCCCCAAGGTATGAGCCCCCAACCTGAATCTCTTGGTGCCATGGATTTAGAAACCACCACTTCAGGTTCCCCCTCGCATGTCACAGAACATCCCTTCCCACGCTAAACAATTTCTGGTTCCTCCTCAGCCTCACAATTACTATGTGGGTGGTCACAAGGCTTGCCCCAGGAACACTACTCATCTTCTAAATAACTCTCCAGTCAACGTTGCTCTATTCCTTTTGAGTTAGTCACCTGCAAAGTGACATCTCCAATAGCAATACACAGCCTCTAGCCCAGACTGCAGAGGGAACTATAGATATGACATGTCATTGCAAGCCATTCACCTCACCTGAGCTCTGAAAGAAAAGAATTAATCTCTATAATGATGCGTATGGAGCACACACACAAAAACAACATCCTCCACTTTGTTTCACTCATGCTGGTCAAACATCTGTGGCTTTACCTCTGTGGCTTTACCTCTCTATTAGTAAATGTATTTATTATATATTCTTTCTTCACAGAGTGTATAACTTTAGAAAGTAAAGATCATTTATGTGAGTATTGTTGCTCTCCCCTCTCATAGAAAATTTACCACTGGCTAAACTTCCCATGAACACACAGAATAAAAAAATTCCTGAACAGGTACCTAAAGAAAACAGTCTATGAGAGTACACTAAGAGAGGGGCCTCCCTGGTAGCGCAGCGGTGGAGTGCTGGGTTGCGAAGCTGCCCGCGGCCTCTGCGGCGCTGGTTCGATCCCCCGCTGCTCCCCGGCCACCGGAGGAGTGTCCCGCATGGCGCGCAGATCTCTCCTGCCGCCCACTGCTCCCCTCAGCAGTGTACTTTGGTCCTTCTGCCTGCTCTGCTCCCTGCTCTGGCTCTGGTAAATTCTCTCACCCTCCCGTGCTTCTGACTGTACCCAGTGCATGTACAAACAAACAAACAAATAAATAAATAAATAAAAATACATGCCTCTTTAAAAATAAAAAAAAGAAAAGAATACACTAAGAGAGAGAACAGAGAAATGTGATTACTGCAGAAAAATTCCCACAGTATCAGGGACTGCATACTGGTTTAAGAACTTAGACAACCATCATTAAAAGAGCAGGACAAAATTCACCAGGACAAAATTCACCAGAGAGAATATTTGGGAACTGAATAAACAATCAGTTTGATATATGCAGACGCACTGTCCAAGGTTGGACATTGGAAAAGCACCTCAGTGTGGCCAATATCACTGGCCACACTCCCAGCCTCCTCTCAGCCTCCCGACCTGGCAAGCACTGACTGACCTGAGAGGTCCTGGTTTGGTGGATCGTCCACAGACCACGACTGTAATCCCTGCTCCGACCTGATGCTCTCCTCAGGATCGGTAACACAGTGCCCTATGATGAGAAACAGTGTTGGTCTTCGATCAAGTTCAACTTCAGTCTTTGAAAACTAACAAATGCAGTGTGAAGAGCTGTGCAAAAGAGGCCAATCTGAATCTTTCCAAATGAAAACTGAAACAACCACAATGTACACTGCCTGTCATGTTCAACCTCACCAACACTAAGTTTCATAAGCAAGGGCACACTTATCGGTGCAGAAGAGAGCATTGCACTAGAGTGTTACACTGAAGCTTCCTCACCTAGGAACACCAGGTGACTGCAGGTCTCCATCATCACATCCCAGTACAGGGTCCTCTGAGCTTCACTCAGGTACCGCCACTCCTGCCACGTGAAGTTCACAGCCACGTTTTCAAATGACACTGTCCCCTCTGAGGGAACATTTCTCCTCATCTCAGGGCCGGCAGCCTGGGTCAGACAGAGCAAGTGCAAACACATCTTATTTTGTGGTTCTTTGGTCCTGTATAGAATGTATAGAATTCACAGTTGAAAGAGCCACGCCTCTACATTCACCCGTTCGGTCCTAAAAGTAGAACTATAGCTTATTGTATAAATTTGAAAGTGTCTATGATTGTAAGAATAAAAGGATGAATAAAATTTGCTCCTTGAGGAGCTGATAGCCTGGCTGGCTGGTGTAACAGACATACACCCGGATTCATGTGCTAAAGGAGCTTCATAACAAATGAAAAGCATGTGCAACTTTGTGCCAATATTTACTCCTGTGACCTCAAAGCTTGGTATCTCCAACTCACAGTAAACAAAAACTGAGCCCGAAACCAGAATATTCAAGCAATGAGGGGGGAAAAGGCACAGGTAAGAGATGTTCAACTACAAGCAAGTATAAACCAGACACACACACTATGGGCGGGTGGAGGGGTGGAGGGATTAGGGTCAAAATAGGGGGGGTGGGATGTATGGGGACTATAACCAAGATGAAAATTCATACATTGTGCAAAAATGAAAAATGATGTAAAAAATATATATATAAAATATATTTTTAAGAAAAGATTTCAGCTGACAGTGTCAGAAGAAGACAGAACAGGTCATCACTTCTAAAATGGAAGGACAAAGGGAGGAGAACTTAGTAATAACTTGGTGGCTGAGGTACGAGGAATGTTTTCCTAATATACTGTCCGCATTACGGGTTGGTAGTTACACTGTAACACTCTAGTGTCTACTGGTATTCCACATGCATCTGGACATGTGTCTGATAGATCAGGAAGTCTAAGCTGAGAACAGAAATTTGGGAATCAGGGCCTCCCTGGTGGCACAAGAGTTTAAGTCTCAGCACTATGAAGCTATCAGGAACCACTGCAACATGAATTTGATCCCCAACCAGGGAGCTATTTACAAGGGGCAGAAGATTTCACCTGTCTCCCCGCTGCTCCCCTCAGCAGAGTATTTCAGTCAGTCTGCCTGTTCTGCTCCCCACCCTGTCTCTGGTGAATCCTCTCACCCCCTGCACCTGTGGCCTACACCCGAGCGTTTATATGCATACATAAAATAAATATTAAAGAAAAGAAAGAATTTGGGAATCTCCAGGATATTATTGATAGTTTTCATCACCGTAGGGGAGAACACGATGAGCAGAACAAAAGGTATCGAAAGAAGAGGGAAAACAACTAGAAGAGACAAATATTTCTTTTGGAGAAAGAAAAAAAATAGATCATAGCAATGAAAGAGTTTTGAAAAATAAGATACACGGTATAAGAAAAACAAACATCTTAAGAAATCCGTAAATTTATTCCATCATTTCCTTTCCTGTGTAGTAAATCCTGTGCACCTCCACATACATATAGAATAGGAACCCATTAAAATAAATTTCCATTTGTATTAGCTAAAAAAGGATTCAGAGGATTTTTCCTCAACACAAAACAAGTCCTTGACACAGCCACAGGTGACATCAACATTCACAGTGAGAGGAGGACTAACAAATATGCTCAGTGTCCCCTATTCACAATGGGTTCGGGTGACGCTACGTAACAACAAAAAAGACAACATACACAAAAATGGTCATAACTAGTTATAATTCATTCTTGGAAAAATAATGAAAGCCACAGTAAAGCGACTCTGGAAAGGAAAACCCAGTGAGCAGACTATAACACACACCCGTGTTCACACACACAGGAGCTCCTGTACGCTGCCAGTGAAATGACAAAACAGTAAGCAATGCATGTAGCGGAACCAAGGGCAGAGACTCACTGGAGCCTGCTGCACTGACAGCAACTCTCGCAAGGTAACCCGGCACATCCCAGTTCTACGAAAACAAAAATGAATTTATTTACAGGCTCATTGATTAAAACACTAATACGAGAAATAAAACAGCAGAGAGAAGGTGGATGGCTCATTTCTGTGCACAGAAACACACGGGACCTCCCAGCAGGAGTGGGCTCAGGATGGCATAAAAGCACCATGTGATGAAATGGAACAATACAATCCCCTTGCACTTTCGATCCTGTTCAAAATGGAAATGTGCAGCAATGAGTAAAGGACTGGAATACACAGTTCTGTAAATCACATACCCAAGCTGGACCTAACACATGAACGTGCTCAATACGACCAGTCACGAAGTAAAAATGAATGAGAAGTACAAGAGATGAGATTTTACATCCGCTGGGATAGCAATGTTTTAAAAAGAAAGAAAAGAACAAGTACTGACAAAAATTGGGACCTGGTTCCCTTGTGCACTGCTGGTGCTAACATAAATGATGCAGCCAGGAGGGAAGACAGGAAGGTGATTCTTAGGAAAAGGAAACTCAGAATGACAGGAGGACCCACCCCCACCCCGGGGTGTTCACCAATAGCAGGGAAAGCAGGGAAGGGCAGAGACGTTTGCTCACCTACGGTCACTGCACCACCAGTCATTACAGCCCAAAGCAAAATCAACCCAAGCCCCAGGTGATGGATTAATGGATAAATAAGACTGGTAGATACGCATAAGAGAATATTAATGAGCCTCACAATGGAACTAAACAATGACACACACTACAATATGAATCACTCCTGTACGATACCTATGAAATGACAAAACAGTTAACAATGCAATAAAATAAGAGATTCACCAAGAAAACAAGGTGTAATAAGACTCCATTCATACAGGTCTGAGTTGTCAAACTCTTGAAAACAGAAAGTAAACGGTGGACACAGGGGCTGAGGGACAGAGCAGTTGGGAGCAAGAGTTTAATGAGTACAGTATTTTATTACTGGGAAATAAAAAATCTGGAAAGTGGTGATGGCTATATAACATTGTCAAATATTAAAAGCCAAAGAACACCACATGCAATAACAGCGAAAGGAGACTTTTTATTTTACATTTAAATAAAGGGTCAGGGGCTTTCCTGGTGGCTCAAAGGTAGACACTACCTATGGAGCTGTCCCGCAGCCAGCGCAGCAGGAGTTCAATCCCCAGCCAGAGAGCTACCCACATGGCGTGGCAGACCTCTCCTGACTCACCCACTGCTCCCCTCTACAGTGTATTTCAATAGATTTGCCTGTTCTGCTCCCCACACTGTCTCTGGAGAATCCTCCCCTCCCACACCTCTGGCTCATACCCCAGTTTTTGTATGCATAAATAAGTTCATCTTTTAAGAAATGAATGAATGGATGAATGAATGAATGAATGGAGGGCAACGTTTACTAGGAAAAGGAGAAAAATAAGCAACAGTCATGCTGGGCAGAAGAGCAGCCACTGCTGCTCCCCACAATGCAGAGATTTATAAAATGAAACACTTGCATGGTCACAGGTGACAGAAGAGCTGGTAAAATTAGGTTGCAAAATACATTCATTCTATCAATATTCTATAAACATCTATCAAAATTAAAAAAATCTACCATTAACCGTAACTTCAGCAAGAATCATACGTATGACAAATGCAAACAAACCTAATATACTCCAGACTCGATGACAGAAACCTGGAGCTCTTTATTAAAAACTACATTGAGCATCACTGACATAAACTCCCAACAACCAAAGGTCAAATGATGAACATCTGCACTTCCTTGTTTTACTCAGCGAGTGTATGTGTCATGGCCCTTGTTCAACCATGTCCCACTGACCCCTGAACTCTGAGGTGTCACCACACCCTGGCCAGTCGGAGGCAGAAAAGGGAGCAACCTCATCACTGAGAAAACGCATCCATCAGGTTTGGCCAAGAATGAGAACTGTAATGTGAAAGAAAGTCAACACACACTCACACACACGCACGCACACACAAACGCACGCACGGCGGTGCTGTTGTTAGCAACCATTAAGATATCAGGTAATATTGAAGAGTAACTTGCATTGGCTGAGACTAAACTCTGGAACAGAGAAATCCCTTTCTGGTGGCGGGAGACCTGGGCTGAGAAGGATCTAATTCCACACCGGAGGGCACAACACAGGACGAGGTTTGCATGTTGCATGAGCGGCAGGTGCCATCGGGATGGCTACAGGCGCAGTCAGGTGGGAGCCGAGCCTGTGGTACTAGGCCTGGGCAGGAGGCCCACGCTCTAGTGTAACTGGCAGAAATGGCAACACACAGTTGACTGACTCACTCAGGAGAAGTGCAGACTGAAGTTGGGAGACCAGATCGGAACACAGGGACTAGCTACATTCAGGAGCACAAGATACTCAAGCATTCAGGGACACAGAAAAGAAATCATCAGAGAGACCATGACAGAAGCAAACACAATGAAATTTGCATCTTCCAAAACACTGAAGATGGAGGAAAACTCACCAACACATACGACGAGGTCAACATTGCCCTGACCACCCCCCAAAAAAAAAAGACAGCATAAAAGGGAAAAATAGACCAACACCACCAAAAAACAGAGAAGCGAAAATCCTCAACAAATTCCAAACGACTTAATACAGCAACATGGAGTCTCCCTGGTGAAGCAAGGAGTTAAGGCAAAGCACTATGAAGCTATCCACAGCCCCTGCAGCATGAGTTCGATTCCCAGTCAGGGAAATCACCCACACAGCACACCTGACCTCTCCTGTCTCCTTGCTGTTCACATTAGTAGTGTATTTCACCAGATCTGCCTGTTCTGTTCCCCATTCTGTCTCTGGTCAATCCTCTCACCCACCACATGTCTGGCCTGTACCCCAGCTCTTATATGGATAAATAAATCAATCTATAAAATTTCAAATGGCTTAAATATTTGGTGATGTACTTGACAGAAAACATAGGGACACACTAAGGACAGTTGCCACAAAGTGCACTAGGGAACACAACCCCAACAGCCACGGAAACAAAAGCAAAAATCAACAAGTGGGACACCACTAAACCTAAAAGAATTCATACCTTAAAAGAAACCAGCCCCAATACTGAAAGGTAGTCTATAGAACAGAAAAAGAATCTGCATGCCACACATGTGACAAGGGGCTCATTCCAAAATTTATAACATCTCCAAACAATGCGAGAAACCAACTGATGACTCAATTAAAAATGGACAAAGGGGGCCTCCCTGGTGACACAAGGGGTTGGGACACAGCCTATGAAGCTCTCCACAGCCTCTGCAGCGTGAGTTCGATCCCTGGCCGGCAGGGAGCAACCCGCATGAAGCAGCAGGCCTCTCCTGACTCCCCACTGCTCCCCTCAGCTGTGTGTTTCAGTAAGTCTGCCTGTTCTGCTCCCCACTCTGTCTCTGGCGAATCCTCTCACCCTCTGCACCTCTCGCCTGTACCCCAGTTCTTGTATGCATAAATGAATAAATCTTAATTTAAAAATGGACAAAGGAACTACATACACTCTTCTCTAGAGAGGGAATTCTGACATCCTACAGACAATAGGAATGTTCACCTTAACTTATTTCAAGATAAATGTAAATTAAAAGCACACTTAGATGCCACCTCACACCTTGAGAAGGCCCAAATGAAAAGGAATGGATTTATACAAAACGGGGGGTGAGGGATGAGAATTTTATGGGGACTATAATGAAGATGTAAATGATTACACTGTGCAAAAATGAAAATGATGTAAAAATATGTAAAATAGTATTTAGAAAAGTGAAACACTGAAAAAAAAAAAAAAACCAAACATGGAATGAACAACGCTGGAGAGGGCGCAGAGAAAAGGGAGCTCTCACCCACGGCTGGTGGCCAAGACAGTCGGAACAGACCCTGTGGATGAGGGTGCAGAGGTTTCTTAAGGAAATAAAAATGGAAATTCCATATCATCTGCAATACTTCTACACATTATCCTCATGGGAAAACGCAAACACAAAAAAGATTAATCCCATCCGTGAGCAGAGCAGCTGTGTTTCCAACTGCCCAGTCATGGCCCAATCTACATCCCTTCAGCAGAAGCAGGGCAGGAAGGGTGGAGCACACGCAGGGGAGCACTGCAGGGCTGTGAGGAAGGAGCAAAGGGCCACACTGAGGATAAAATGGGTGGGCAAGGAGGTGATATTGTTTTTAAAAAGATTTATTTATTTATGCATACAGGAGCTGCGGTACAGGCCAGGGGTGCGGGGGAGGAAGGTGAGAGGATTCACCAGAGACAGAGCAGGGAACAGAACAGGCAGATAGACCGAAATACACTGCCGAGGGACGCAGCAGGCCAGTCAGGTCTACTGTGCCATGTGGGTAGCTCCCTGGTTGGCCGGGGGATGGAACTTGTGCTGCAGAGACTACAGACAGCCCCATCGGTTGCATCTCAACCCCTTGTGCCACCAGGGAGGCCCCGGGAGGTGCTATTCTTGAGTGAAATAAGCCAAAAATTAAAGATACATATGAGATGGCTTCACTCATCTGTGGAAAATAAATACCCAAAAAACATTTACAGCCAAAATACTTGAATAAAACTTGAACAGGGTCATTTGAAAGTAAAGATGACCACCAGAGGGAACAGGGGAACGGGTGGAGAAGTTAGGGATGGAGGCAGACATGGGATGGGCCAGAGTGGTTTGGTAGAGAGGAAACAAGGGTTAGGGCAAGACCCATTAGGATTGTAGGAAAAAACTGGCAACTATTTTAGCAGAAGGCTTTTAGTGGTACACATGTCAATGACAGATCGAGGAGGGAAAATAAGTAAAAGAATAAGAAAAAAGTATAAGAAGCTTTAAAACAATTAAAAAAAATGAAATTTTCCAAAGGTCACACACAGTGTTCTCAAACATGGCAGGAACTTTTGGAGAGTGTAACTGGACTGGAGAGCAACTTAGGGTGTAGTGAGCGTCTCTAGAAATGCATTCAGACCACACCAAGGAAAAATGCGCAGGAGTGGAAACAACGGCCAGAAAAAAGGACTCTGAAGAGTCTACTGGGCACCTTCGCTTTGCAGGCCACCTGAGAGTAAGGCAGGGGCAGGTATGTAAGGATCCCCATTGGACTCAACGGCACACATGCCAAGACTGATGCCTGCATGAAAGTCTCCGAGAGTTGTGTAGGACACAGTATATGATTTTAGCTACTGCACAGAAACCTTAAAAATTCAGTTGGGGCCTCCTTGGGGGCACAAGGGGTTGAGCGTTGGGTTGTGAAGCAGGTTGTGATAGAACTCTGCAGCGCCAGTTTGATTGCCAGTGAGGGTCCAACATGGTGCGCAGACCTCTCCTGCTGCCCACTGCTCCCCTCAGCAGTGTACTTCAGTCCTTCTGCCTGCTCTGCTCCCTGCTCTGACTCTGGTGAATTCTCTCAGCCTCCCGCACTTCTGACTGTACCCATTGCATGTATAAATAAATAAACAAATCTTGAAAAAAAATCAGTTGTCTTTTTTAAAAGACATGTGGCTCCTTCACCCCCATTCTGCACTCTGGTCCTCAGGCCCCATCCTCCCCCTCCTCCCTCACCCCGCACCTGACCAGCGCAGAGCTGGGGAGTGTTTCTGTCCAGTGGGGTGAAGAGCCACAGTCCACACCTTCAGAGTCATCAACCGCGTCCCAGGCACAGACTCTGACTCAGGGCTGAGTGAACACCAGGGCAGAGCCCCATCTTCACGCATGCTGGACATGTGAAGTGCCTGGATCTACGCCACACCTTTCTCTGGTTAGGAATGTGTCCCTGGAGAAAACTATGTTTCTAATTTACGTGTCCGTTGACGAACTCGCATAAAGTCAATGCACAGCGAGCTGAAGCAAACACATCACTCACCAAAGATTCATGCATTGTCGCTGCTCTCACAGATGCGCCAGGGCTCTGGAGGCGGCGCTGGGAGGGGCAATGGGGTCCAGCACAGAGGATGGAGGCAGCTGCACGTGGTCCTGGATTCTCCTGTCCAGAGCCCGCCACACGCTGCCTGGAGACACCAGAGAGTCACTGCGGGTGATGGCCGTGTGACACTTCTAGCAGGGGCAGGAGAGGCCCTGCTAGTCCATGAGCGGCAGAACGTGGAAGTTTACGGTTCACCATAACTTAGTAAAAGATGACACTTCCCACTGCCTGATCAACAGTCACACCAAGGACAACAGTCTCAAAGCTGATGAGTCAGTTCAGAGTGTGGCCACGACTTCCAATGAGACAATGCCCCGAACACACTATTTTGCCAGGACACCCCGGCAGTGGCTCTGCGCCGCCTACCGCCCTCTGCTCAGTGGACACCCTGACAGGGACAAGGTCCCCCGGGGTGCGCACGTCCAGGCAGAAGGCCTGAATGCAGCGGCCAGCAGGACGCCGCCTGTGGGCGGGAACGCGAAGCATATGTGGAAATTCAGACAACAAGCCTCTAACGCCCCAGGAACTCCCCCCACTCCCCCCCCACCCTGCAAACCCAGTTTCCCGCCAACCATCCCGCCCCCACAGGGGCTGCCTCCCCATGGCAACCCTCGCGACATCACCCGCCCACCTTGGGTCCGTGAATCCCGCCCCGGGCGCAATACCCCCCCCAAGAAACACAGCCTGGCTCTCCCCTCCCTCACCGCCGACTTTTGGGGGCCCAGAGGAGTCAGCGCGCATGCGCCCAGGCGGACCCGCGCTTCCCCAGGGCCCCCGCCTCGGGGACCCTGTCCCCCGCCCCGGGAAGACCCCGGGCAGCGTCTGGGGTCAGGACTGGGCAGCCGCGATGGGGACACCCCGGAAAGGCCGGGACGTTCTCCCCAATGGCCCTGCTCCGCCCCCACGCGCGCTCCGGGGGGAAAAGGCTCCAAAGCGCCCGACTCCACGCGGCCGCGGCCCCCACTTGCCCGCGCTCCCCGCTCCCCAGCCCCCCGGCTTGTCTGCTCACCAGCGCCCAGCCTCCCGGGACAAACCCGCGCTCACCTCGGGGCGCCCCAGCGCTCGCGGGGGCGCCAGAACGTTCGAAAGGACGGGGGCGGGGCCGCGCCTGCGCAGATCGCGGAAGCCCCGCCCAGAAACCTCCGCGGGACCCACAGGGGATGGAGACTACATTTCCCACAACCCCTTGCGCAGCCTGTCGGGCCGTCGTCGGGGTGGGGCTGTGGCCTGGAAGTGGGAGGAGTGGAGGTTGAGGAGAACCAGCAGGTGAGCGAGGCCCATGAAAACTGCGGGGACAGTAAAGGGTTCAGGGCTCTGAGGGAAGAGGCTGAACAGGGCCGCCATGGTGCTGAAGGGGTTAAGCACCGCGCTGACTCAGAAGCTATCTGCCCCCTCCACAGGGCATGGCAGACCTCTCCTGTAAGGCCCACTGCTCCCCTCAGCAGCATATTTCTCTCTGCCTGTTCTCCCCACTTTGTCTCTGGTGAATCCTGTCTCTGTCTCTCTCACACACACACCCATTTGGCCTGAACCTCAGCTCTTGTATGAATTAATTGAAAAAATACACAGAAGAAGTTCACACATAGTCTAAATAAGACATTCAGATACCAAGACACATTTCATCAAAATCAACATTCAGGTATTTAAGAAGCATCTTGACCTTCTGATATCTGGATCACAGAGTCGGTGTTCAACATAAAGATGCTTTGCTTAGCTAATGTGAATGCACAAGAATTCCACGCTGTTATGAAAAGCTCACCTGTTCCTTCATCACATGCTTGTGAATATTTCTTTTGCAACAACGTCCAATAATATTCATGGCTCCATTACTACCATTGATGCCGGTGTGTGTAACAACTGCTGCCACTTTACCACGAGTTCTTGTCTCGCGAAACCATAGAACGGAATTCACAGACTTTTGGAGTAAGTAAGCAGAGAGAGACAAATCTTGTCTTTGAAAGAAAAGTTTATTTAGGAAGAAAAAAGACAAAGAAGAAAGACTCCCAGGTAAAAAGTACCTGGGAGGGGCCAAGATGAGCTGGTATGGGATATTACATTAGCTATATTTACCTTTTCTCTCTCATTATGTTAAAATTTCAGTCTCTCTTCCTGATTGGCTAGCTCTCAGGGGGTACTAAGCAAGGAATTTCACATTCCTAATCTAACAGTATTTTCTTTCCCCATTTGTTATGCTTATCCCTTTACCTTTATGGTCTAGCCCTCCCTGTGAGCATCTTTACACTTTATCTTATCATCTGAAGAAAACCAGGACCATCCTTAACAAGATTATCTGTGGTGCTTGGATGTTTGTTTTTCCCAGTGGAATGGGTTACATTTCCTTGGTTGTCCTTATCTCTGAAGCCTCCCTAAATTCTTCAGAGGTCCCCTCCTGCACTGTCCCTAAAACTGCCTAATAACCCTAGCTTGCCCTGTCTCACCATGAAGACACATGAGGATATTAATAAACTGTTAGTGTATTCCCTGAAGGAGAAAATGATGAAATGAGTTGAACTTCAGCATGTTTGTTTCTAACTTTATTGCCCACAATGAAGTCCACGACTCCTTTAGGTGATTTAGATCAATCTTTTGAGTCAGCCACAAACAGCATATCCATTTAGATTTTCTTCATCCGTGATACATGACACCATTGTAAATGTACCCAAGCAATTAAGACATAAACAAACTCATCAACTGGAGGAGGGTCCCATAGATGTTTGACACACAAAAGTCAAATACATGACTCCACCTACATACCAGGAGAAAGCCATAGAGTGAAGTGATTTAGGGCTGAATTATATTCATCAGGTCTCTTCACAATATCTCAAGTATGCTTGATAAAAAAGGACATAGAAAATAACTATACAGCTCCCCACACCATTGTCTTGAACTTTAATTTACTTTTTTTTAAAGATTGATTTTATTCATTTATGCATACAAGAGCAGAGAGGTAGACCAGAAGTGTAGGGGGTGAGAGGATTTGCCAGAGTCAGAGTGGGGAGTAGAACAGGCAGGCTGACTGAAATACATTGCTGAGGGGAGCAGCAGATGAGACAGGAGAGGTCTGCCACACCATGTGGATAGATCCCTGGCCGGATGGGAATCAAACATGTGCTGCAGAGGCCACAGATAGCTTCACAGTGCTGTACTTTTAACCCCTTGCACCACCAGGGAGGCCCACATTTTCCTTTTGAGACACAGGGCAAGCTAGGAATTATGCAGTTTTAGGGACAGTGCAGGAGGGGACCTCTGAAGAATTTAGGGAGGCTTCAGAGATAAGGACAACCAAGGGAAAGTAACCCATTCCACTAGGAAAAACAAACATCCCAGGACCAAGAACAGCATTGTTAATGCTAGTCCTGGTTTCCTTCAGGTGGTAAAGGGAGGCGGAGATTGGAGAAATGGGAGAGTGGTTTAATTTATGGACAACTTAGAAGGGCAGCTGTTTAACTTCAATGCAGGGATGCCCATCCAAAGGACTGGGCCATAAAGATAAAGATGCAACAAATGGGGAAAGACAAAACTGTTAGTTAAGGAATGTGAAGATCCCCCACTCAGTAACAAATTAAGTGAGACAGCCAAGAACTAACCAATCACAAAGAGACTTGTGGAGCTTTAAGAATAATGAGGGAAAAAGGTATAAATTCCCTAAGACACAACTCCACTTTGGCTTCCTTGCCCCTCCCAGGCCTGGGAACCACTCCCCCTGGCCTGGGAGTCCCACTTTATTTCTGTTTTTTTTCTCCTCAATAAACTTTTTCTTTTTTTTTTTAATTTTTTTTTGAAGTGGAGAATGCACCCTTTTGTTTTATTTATTTATTTATTTTTATAGAGGCATGTTCATTTATTTATTTGTTTGTTTATACATGCACTGGGTACAGTCAGAAGCGCGGGAGGGTGAGAGAATTCACCAGAGCCAGAGCGTGGAGCAGAACAGGCAGAAGGACCAAAGTACACTGCTGAGGGGGGCAGCAGGTGGCAGGAGAGGTCTGCGCGCCATGTGGGACCCTCCTCCGGTGGCCGGGGAGCAGCCGGGAATCGAACCGGCGCTGCAGAGGCTGCAGGCAGCTTCGCAACCCAGCGCTCAACCGCTGCGCCACCGGGGAGGCCAACTTTTTCTTTTTATAAACAAACTTGCCTCTTCTCGCTTGCTTCCCTGAGCGTCTGCAAAGTTCCTGCTGCGGCTTCATGAGACACCAACCCCTGGGGGTCTAGCGGCTGGGGCTCAGCGCTGCCCTGCAGCCTGGGATCTGTTCCTGGCTGGGAGACTAGGCCTGACAATTTCGGTATCACTTTCTCGCAAAATAAGACTTCAACAAAGCAAAGGCCACTTCCGTGATTACTGTTCTTACCACCACTCATAGAAAATTTACCACTGTCAAAAACTACCCATGAACATACTGAGTGAATAAACAAATGCCTGAAGAAGTACCTTAAAGAAAACAGTCGGTGAGAATAAACTAATAGAGAGAACACAGAAAATGTAATTACCGCAGAATAATTTCCTGCAGTATCAGGGACTGCATACTGGTTAAATCCAACATTAACAAACATTAAAAAAAGAGCAGGAGGACATCTAGGAGAGAGCTGTATGTGGAAACTGAATAAAGAATCACTTCAATAAATGCAGATAAACTGTCCAAAATTTGGACACTGGAAAAAGTAGCACAATGTGGCCTAGGGGGTAAGAAGGGAAACCAGGCGTGGAGACTGAGAATCAGGGACTGAGAACCAGGCACAGGACATGGGGCATGGACGCGCCCTAGCAGTGGGCACAGCACAGGGTGACAGCCAGCGTTTTGGACCTGACAGCCCTGGAACTGAGACCTAGAGCGCAGCATTCAGGGCAGAATCCATACAGCTGCGGGCACAGTGCAGGGTGAACGCTCAGCAGACACAGCGCCCGGCTTGAACGACAGCCCCTGTGTTGAAGTGCAACCCCCTTTTCTCAGAGAACCACTGGGGAAAAGCACAGGTCAGCAAGTGCAGGTCTCTGGCACCACCTGGTGACCAGAACAAAGCCACCGATGAACTGATTCCCTGCTGCAACTGAATAAACACAGAGGGCAGGAACCACAAGGGGCAGAGCCCAGAAACAGGGCATCAGCGCCCTGGTGGCTTTTTGGCTCGTGGTGCTGGACTCGGTCCAGTGAACAGATGTCAGCAGCTTGACTCTGTGCTGAGGACTCTCCAGGCCAACTATATGGAACATAAGCATCCGTGAACTTTTGCTATCTGCTGGGGGTGTGGGGGTGTCATTCCTAAATCCAACTCCACCAGACACCAAGGGATGATTATAAAGTTTCTGGGGCTTCAAAAGTCCTACATGGATTTTCCACCGCACGAGATCAGCGCCCCACCCCCTGTTGCTTAAGGGTCAGTCAACTGTGAAAGCAAAACCAATCATGAGAGCATAAAATACATGTGGTTCTGCTGGCAGGACAATCACAGACACTGCTACTACAACTGTAATTTGATGCCACGATTAAATAAATTGCTAAATTTCAGTTAGAATTAGGGAAAATCAAGATTCATTTTACCTCTTCCTGATTCCATACTCCTGTCTGATTGAAGGATAAAGGGCGGAGTTCAGTGAAGAGGGAGTGCTCAAGGTGGGGAATCTGAGCAGGTTGGAGACCAATTCCAGCTAGATGTCCCGTCAGGGATCTCAGCAGGAGAGGAAGGCTTTGGTGAAGTTTTTCTGAAGGCTTCAGGGAAGTGGAGTAAGGTAGGAGTGAGGAAGACACACACAGACACCTTATAACCTGCAACTATCTCCTCCTGAGGGTCTCAGCAGGTCTTTCTTTATACCTTAAGACCAGCGGTGAGAAGACATTAGCATAAGCATCAAAGCAGAACAGAGACAATCATTACATATTTCCTCATGAACATACATAGACCCTCTTGATCTCATACCACAAAAGGACACTTCCTTAATCAGATTAAGAAACTCTACAGGGACAATGACTCCCCTAGGTACAAATATTTTTCTAATGTAATCCATTGTCTAAGATAGTACAATGTTCAGTAACAATCAATCACCCTGTCAAGCCTTCCTAATTTCAGAGTGGACATGACAGTCCATTGTTATG